TACCCCCGTTTATGGCCAAAAAAACCTTCCCCCCCCCACCTTCTTTTTTTTTAAAGGGAAAAAAAAGGCCCCCCCAACAAAAACCACTCCCTTTTCAATTGAAAGAAATGGGGGAACATAACCCCCGGAAATAGTTATTTGGAAACCCAACCAGTTCCCCCCGGGGTGTTTTGGCGTGTTTAGGCCCGGTTATAAATTTTTGTGCCCCTACCCTTCGAAAACCCATAGGGCCCGATTTTCAACCCTAAATTCCTTGGAACCATAAAAATCCCAAAAAGGGGGGGGTGGAAACCTTTCCCTTAAGACTTTTCCAAAAAAAAAAAAATTTGGATTTTGGAAATCCTTTTCTTGGGGGGGTAGGAACCCCCGCTTTCAAAATGGTCCCGGGGGGGGGGGGGGGGGTGTTACCCTACGTCATGTCGCCTACGGTAACGAAGCTGCGTTGGACAAGACTCACCCCCATTCCGTGGAGCACGATCGGCGCGATCGTCCCGAACATCACTGCACCGACCACGGTGGTACCTGGATTCGATCGGATGGGGGCAGGTGGGAACAGCCGCGGGTTGTAGGTGTGTTGGCTAAATTCTGACTCACCCAAACTCCCCAAAGTAAGCAGGGCCGTGCCACAAGCGGTCCGCCCGCTCATGCCAGCAAGTGGCACGTGCAAGACCCGTGTGTTCCTAACCGTAGCCGCAAGCTTGACCCCAGCGTTAAATCGTAAGACACCAACTAAACTCGTTCCAACCCTACCTCATCCTATCCCCAACTAAAACCGTAAGTCCAAACTAGCGACCGACACTGACATCAAAACTAATCCTCACCCCAAGTAACCCTGACCCTCTTAACTCTCACCCTAGGACTAAAATCCAATCTCAACCCTAACGCAGGTGACACAAGATACCACACCCCATGTTTTCAAAGCTCGATTTCTCCACGACGAAGAGGATAAACAAGTTTGAAATGATACGTTTCCGGAAAGCTCTCGATGAGACCGTTTCAAGGCCGCCGTTTTCGACGCCTCCGCTTTTGCTGCTGTGGAGAATTCGAGCTGTGAAAATCAGTCCAGGGGGTGTGATGTTTTATAGGCCACCCACGGTAACTGACTCACCCATCGCGAAAGACACTGCCAAGGTGGCTGCCGGCGCGGCTCCCGGCGTGAACAGGACTCGAACGAACGACACCACGGAGTCGGCGAAAGCTTAACCAAACGTTATCTCCAAAACATAAATCGCCCCAGCCCCGACTAACCTCTAACCCTGCGTCAAAACCTCCCCCATCCTAACCCTAATAAACTACCTCACCCATCGCGACAGACACTGCTAACGTGGCCACCGTCGTGGCTCCCGGAGTGAGCAGAACTCGAACGAAGGATGCCACCGAGAGCACACACGCCGAGGCCACTCCGGCCCTGGCTTCCCGCCAGATTACTCTCCAGCGGTTCCCCTGGTGGATCTCTTCGGTGGCTAGCCCTCGAATCACTATGGCGGAGCTCTTGGTAGGAAAAAAGGGTGGGGGGGAGACAGACAGACAGACAGACAGACAGAGACAGAGAGAGACAGAGAGACAGAGAGAGAGAGAGAGAGAGAGAGAGAGAGAGAGAGAGAGAGAGAGAGAGACAGACAGACAGAGAGAGAATAGAGAAAGACACAGAGGGAATAGAGAAAGTGAGAGACAGAGACAGACAGACAGACAGCGAGAGAGAGAGAGAGAGAGAGAGAGAGAGAGAGAGAGAGACAGACAGACAGAGAGAGAATAGAGAGAGACAGAGAGAGAATAGAGAAAGAGAGAGACAGAGAGATAGACAGACAGCGAGAGAGAGAGAGAGAGAGAGACAGACAGACAGAGAGAGAGAGAGAGAGAGAGAGAGAGAGAGAGAGAGAGAGAGAGAGAGAGGGAGACAGAGGGAGACAGACAGACAGAAAGACAGAGAAGGGGGGGGGCAGACAGAGTGATAAGAGAGAATCAGGGCGAGCGACATCAGGCAACAGACAAGACAGACGGGCAGACAGAAAAAAAAATAGAAGCAGAGAGACGGACAGAGAACGTTGCAGGTGCGCAAAGCATGAGAGATACGTCAGAGGCGAGGAAATTGATCTTGTTGCCTTGGTTGCTGCTACTGTACAAAACCTCTCATGGTCGAGGATGGCGTAGCCCCCCCCAAACATATATCACAATGAAGCATCGACCTACACTAAGGGAAACACATGCCGTAGGTTGCACAAGATACCACACACCCTGGACCGATTTTTCGAAGGTCGGTTACTCCACGACCAAGAGGATGCCGAAGGCCAACGATGCGTGTTCGGAAAAATCTCGACGCGACGGTTCCGACTCGGCAATTTGCTTTCCCTGCCGAGTAATCAACCTCGGGGCCAGTTTATTTGAGTGTACCTTCTTAGGGTAAGTTAACCAGTGACCACGGGAATCGACCGCGTCGAGTGTTGGACCAGTACGGACATACGAAGGTACTGGGGAGAGAGAGATCAGAACGGTTTTTCATGTGAAGACAACAACAACAACAACAACAACAACAACAACAACAACAACAACAACAATCAACCTTTCAAAAACGTTCAATGGGGTGTCATATCCCATGCAACCTACGGAATGATTCCTTGCTATGGGTGTTTTTCTGCCCCTCCCCCTAAAAAAAAAGTAGGCATACATGTACCTGGTATATGCTTCGTACATTGATTTTGAGTCCGTTTTTTTAGTCGGTTGCGGTTTATGCGAGCTCATGAAAGCTACGTGATCGCCCTAGCGCGATCTAGATCTCGAGGTCTACAGTAGGGGTCAAACGAAAACGTCTTGCTAAATTGCAAAAATAGAGTCGAGAGGGGACAAAAGGGGTTCTCACGCAAAGTGTCACGGACCCATAGGTGCTGCCCCGCTCCCTGCACATCGACTGCAGCAACCCGCATGTGAATCGACGTCGTGGTCGTCGAGATATGAGAAATACAGTTTGCGAGGCACAGCGCACATGCGCCAACGGCAGGGACCCCCCCCCCCCCCCCCAAGGGCTCCCCCAAAAAACGCCCCCCCCATTGTTAAGGGGATGGATGGGGAGTTCCCCCCCCTTGGTTTCCGCGAAAAAATCGGGAAAAATCAATCCTGTCTCCCCCGTTGGGTGTTGTAAAAGGATTTTTTTCTACCCCCGAAGTTTCCCAGGGCCCGCTTCCACTTGTAACCCCTGGTCCTGTGGATTCCAGGGTTTTAAATCCCACGTCCTGGGCCCAGTACCCACTTTCGGGACGTGGGGGAAGTAACGCGCCTTGCCCCCCAAGAACAAGGACCCCAAAAAAGTTTC